TATTCGCTTCTTCACATATCCAGAGTGTAACAATTTCAGACATAACACATGTATATATAGGAGAGAGATAGAAGAGAGACCGAAGAGAGAGATATTAGAACAATTGAAAGAGAACAGAAGGAGGAGGAAGGAGAATCATCGAAGCGTGCCATCAATATCGGCACAGTATGTTTTTAAAAAAGGAAAAAAAAGAAATTTCAATGAATATTTAATCTTTTGATTAGTTTAGAAATGATTCTCGTCAACCAGGTGAAATATCTCATTATTATATAATTTCTCTTTATGATTTTCAAGCTCCATCTTATGCAACATTTGGTTTACGTACACGAATAATTGCAAATAAAGCACGTATGTATAAAGGATTTTTAAACACGTCATTATAGAAATATGATTTGAAAAATAAATTTATATCTTTAAGCACCTTTTCATGATGGTTCAATGACTCTACATGCCCATGGCGGTGCATCAACTTGGGATTCAACATATGCAACAACATCTTGACTAGTTTTTTTGTATTTTTGTTTTTAATATAAAATAATTATTTTAATGTTGATGGTTAGGATGATGATCCATCATCATTTGCAACATTAAATTCAACAACATCATCATGTAGTCATTTTAACTCATAAATTATTAAATGGTCTTGGAAACTCAAATTCAACAATTTTTTCATCAACATTAATATGTCAAATTCAAATTTATTAGTTAATTCCATTAGTGAACCAACAAGACTTTTTTCGAATCATTCAACAAGTTCTTATTCACTCTATTCAAATTATCTAAGACCATCGCCATCAATTCAAATGAATTATCAAGGTAAAAAAACCAAAATATTCAATTTATCTTTATATTTTTTTATTTCCTTAGTCTATAGTTCTCATATTCTAACTCCAAATACAATAGGTAATTATTTTTCTTAATCATCTTCATCAAACAGTCATCTGTCTGATTAATTTCCAGCTGGAAATTATGTTTATTCTTCATCGATGAAAATAACGCCTATAACACCCATTGTACAATATGAACCAATGTCAACTTCACTTGGTTAGTTTTTATTTTTGTTTTTTTAATAATTCTAATTAAATAATAACAATAATAGATTTTGTTTCAATGTGAAATAATGATTGTCAAACTAAAGGTTTATTTATTCAAACTAAAATTGCTATTGAAGATGAATCAATTCATGTTGAAATTATTCAAAGTTTATCTGTATATTTTTTTTTAAACTTAATTTAAGAAATAAAAATAATTATTTTATTTAGAATAGAGTTTATAGTGTACATTTTCCTTAACATAATCTTCGTGGTATTGTTACTCTTGAACATATGACATCAGTTATATCTGAACAAAATAATAATGATAGTTAATTACTGTTTTTGAAATAAATTTTGCTGAAATTTTATTTTAAAAGATTTATGTAATTGATGGTGATAGTAAAGGTGTATCGAATGATTTATTTTCAAGTAATAATCAAGATGATATTGTTCAACTTCATGGATATATTTCAGATCATGATATATCATTAATTAATTTGAGATATGTATGCAAATGGACTTAAAATAACTTTATCATTTTGTGTGTGTTGATTCTGTTATTGGTGCTTAATAAATATTTAAAAAAAAGCAAAGTACAGATGCAATTGAATTTAAATTAGAAAAGAAATTTGAATTGAGAATAAAGATGTTCGTTTATTATTTCTGAACTATGTCGTCTAACTTATTCGTAATTATGATGAATAATCTCTCAGTATGCATATTTAGTATTCTTGTACCATATTATGAACGTTTATCATCTGAATATGATCGAGAAAGTTCTTTCGAATCCATATAGTAATCGTATCATTTATCAATAATAAATCTTCTTCATTATCTTGAAAGTCATTTAATTTGTTTACAAGGATTTTCTTTAACTGATCATTTATATGCTGATCTAAATGAATTGTCATCTTTCTGCACAGTATTCTGTTTATTATGTTCAACAAACCCATGATTTTGATGATCGTTTATCTATACTTATTGGTAAAAATCTTTCAAAAACTATTGATAAATATGATCTTCTTTTAAATGATATTGGAGATTGTGTTGGTTTTTTCCTATATCTTGAATATAATGAAAAAGGTGTGTTTTTAATAAATATTCATTAAGCATTTCCACATAATTTATTTGATTTTCAATTAAGATTAACACAAATGAAAAAATTTCTTTTTTTAATTGATGAATAACAATTAAACAATAATCTTCTAAATAAACGTTCATTTATTCTTTGAGAAGATTTTCATGTTGAATATGATAATAATCCTATTTATCATTTATTAGAAAAACAATTTCAATCATCTTATTTTAGTATCCATGAAAAAAGGAATAAAAAGTAATTCATTTAACAGATCGACATGAACAGTTAGATGAAAATTTTGTTTTTTATCTATCAAATATTGTTCAATCTATTTCAAGTCAGTTAACTCCTCATGGTTCTAATGAACAAATATGGAATTGTTCAACTGGTTGTATATTAAGTGATGATCGAGATATTTTTACTACATTCCAATATAAAGATAATTTAGAGACAAAAGATGATTTATGATTATTTTACTGTATTTATAATGTAATCTTGTATTTTATTTTCAAAATATTGAAAAGTCTCTTTAATCATAATTTATACACAAATTCTTTCCAATCAGATAGATGAAGTGGTAAATTTAAGTCTAAAATAAATGTATAAATTAATTGAAAGAACAATCATAAAAGATGCACATGTGCAGAGCATTCTTTTTATAATGCGAAACTTCGAAAAATAATATATTGTCGTTCTACATTTCGTATCGATGAATTTATTTCAATAAAATATACTGTCGACACCTACCGACAACTATTTCTTAATCAAATCAGACGATTTTCTGATTGATTTAAAGATAATAAAGACAAAAAATAAGATATAAGATATACGCTCATTCTATTTACAACGTATTTTACCTTTCAATTCGGTTTAGTAATGTCTCAATCAAATCCAATGACATCTGCTGAAGTAGAACCAGAGATGTCCATCGCGACGCTGCCGCGGTAGCGGCGACGGCAGTTTTTCTAAAAGCCGTCGCGGCAGCGGCAGCATTTTTTTTCGAGGACATTGAAAAACTCAATGAATTTGATAGAATTTCATTGTTTACAAATGAAACACCCTGAGACTGAATGAATCTGATGGACTAGTACCAATATTTCTGGCCCAATACGGTCACAGCAGTGAAATTCGAAACATTTTTTTGAAAACCATCGCGGCAGCAGCGCGACAGCTTTTTTTTATAAGTCATCGCGGCGCGGCAGGTTTTCAGCCGCGATGGACATCTCTGAGTAGAACCACCGGCTAAACGTTCTCGTATTGAAGTACGATCATTTAAAATCATAAGAGCATTTTTCTATTTTTAATTTTAGTCTTCATCAACTGATAAACCCACAATTGATGATCAAAGTTTCCAATGTCGTAACAACCGGATCATTTTTAGCGGTAAACCGCGGTTTACCAGCTAGGAGCCGGTAAATCGAACAAAACCGGCGGTTTACCGCGGTAAACCGGAAAAAAGTAGCGATAAACCG